AGGATGAATAAGATGGTTCGGTCACGTCCCTTTGCAATCTTTAGTACATTTCCAGAAATGCAAAGTAAAGTAAAGTAAGGCCACAGCAAGTAATTTTATGGATGACATTAGCGCGCATTGATTTTAGCCTGATTTTGGGGAATTGTTGCCCTGACAGTGGTTAACATGCCGAAAATGGGCTAAGATGTCTGTTGCCATGCCGGAACGTCGATGGCAGATAAATACGAAGAGAGGAGACAAGACAACGCTCTGATTTATTGTTTTGTCTTTTACTTTCAAAATTGATGCAGTGATGCATTTCATTCCTTTTATATGTCATGTTCACTGAATTAATATGTCATGTTTACTAATTTGTACAATGATTGCAAAGTTTTCAGTAACAATTGTAAATATAGCACAAAATAGGTATCGTTTCTTGTTTAATATGATGTCAAAAGTTGAAAATGTAGGAACCTTGTTGTTTGGTCCGCCTTGTTTTTTTTTCGTCCTATCGCATTGGATTTGGAGTCTGTGGAGGATGTCATCCAGAAAATTTACTTGATGTGGCCTGAAGTAAAGTTAAGTAAAGTGAAATACATATAAATATAATCTTATTATCATATATATCCAAACATCATATTCAGAACATAGATATTGCCTGACATCAAATAGTTGATCTAAATTCCAGGACACACCACTGAACGACATCAAATTACAATAGACGTAGTAGACGTCAAAACTCGACAAAAAGGCTGTCTGCAGTTTAAAAAGGCAGCTACGTTACCCAAACCTACAACATGTTTCCCTGCCCCAACACCTGTTAACTGTTCAAAAATCAACACCATAGCATCTTTAAAACTCGACTTATCAAACCAGAGGTGTTACTGCAATACCTTAGAAAGCTGCTAGAATACCCACCGCCACCACCCAATACTGGACCTTAGTATATTACCGGTCTCAACCTACCGACAAAGTGACACGTCCAGAAACATCTGCTATCTTTTCCATGAAATCTAGAGTATCTAAACATTCAAATGACAAAGAAAAATGATATATTAAGAATATCATATGACGCAATCACCATGTGGCTGAAACGAAACGAAGGTTCGCCAGGCCTCTGTCCGTGTGACTTGAAGTGAAACACCATACTGTAATATTTGTACCATCGCACACCGGGGCATGCCCCTACTCTTTTTCGAAAGGTGCGGTGGGTTCTTTAACGTGCGTGGGGTGTGGCTCTCCCCAAACACGGGACCTCCATTTAACGTCCTATCCGAGGGACGTCCCTATAAAAAGCTAAGCACTCATTTCCACCTGAGCGATGGAAGGAAAGTCGTGTAAAGTGCCTTTCCTAAGAGCACAAGTTCGGTGACAAGGCCAGATCCTCCCGGCACCTCTTGGTTCTGAGCCTAACACGCTACCGTGTACGGCACACGATCCCAAATCTTCATAGATAAATAAATAATGAATAGAATCTCCCAGGTACAATCGCTCCCTCCTTAATGTTAAATTACAAGTTTGGGTAAAGTAGAAGACGTGATACCTTTTACTGCTGATTGTCCTTTATATGACAGCAAAAGGAAGACGTCTTTTCGATTAGGCCACAGCAAGTAATTTTTATGGATGACATCCGCGCGCGCATTAATTTTCGCCTGATTTTAAAAAAAAATAAGAAATTTTGTTGCCCTCTGACAGTGGTCAACATGCCGAAAATGGGCAAAGATGTCTGTTGCCATGCCAGGAGGCAGATAACTGAAGAGAGGAGACAAGAAAAGGCTCTGATTTAATGTTTTGTTTCATACTTTGATGCAGTGATATGTGATGCTGGCTGTGTATATGATGTTCGCATTGAATAAAACCATTTGTACAATGATTGAGTCAACATTTTAAAATGTAGGAACCTTGTTTTTTTCGCCCGCTCGCACTAGATTTGGAGTTGGCGGAGGATGCCATCCATAAAATTTACTTGTTGTGGCCTTACCGTGTGTTAAGTAAATTTTCCCATTTTAGGTACAGTCAAACCTACCAAACTTCCTCAAGCAGGCCACCTGTCCATGGTGACCGCTTTTTCTCGGTCCCAAAAATTTCCCCATTGACGCAAACATTAAACAACCTGTCCAAGATGACCACCTGGCCAATGCGGCCACCCTGAGTTGGGTCCGCTCAAGGCCTGATACCTGCCCATGGTGACCACATCACCTTCGATCATGTTGGTTATTGATGATAACTAATGAGACATCAGGGAGAAACCAGCCAGTTTGCCTCGACTGCTGGACAATGTTTTTTTGTTCCATGTGCCACCCTCCCCACATGCATTCACCACAGAACTGAAGATGCTTACAGCATTCGACATTAGAACATCTCGACTTGGAAACTATTTATGCCTCAGTCATGTTGTGAGCCAACCCTATTCAAGGAGACCAACTATTCAAGGACACCACTTTTCTTTGGTCGCTTTGGTGGCCGGCTTGCAGGTTTGACTGTATTTGAATAGGAAAGAGAAATGTGTATTCCCTGCAGCTTCGATAAACTGGCTTTAACAAGTCCTCCTACATTTACACAATTACCAAGAAGCTAGGGGAAGTCGAAAGTACTTGTGTATATACTAGACATCTATATACATACATCTATATACATAGTATGAGACTGTTAATATGTTGAAAGACCCACCGTAGTTCCCCAAAAACAGCAGCTTTTGGGTTGAAAACTACGCCAGTTACCCATTGGCAAAGACCATTAAGTCCCACTAAAATTCCAACCATGGCATGTCCACAAGACGAGAAACCATACCCATGTGCTCTAGTTCCGCACAGAGCCGCTAATGACCAATATCTTGACATTATCGTCCCAACCTACTTGTACCTCCCAAACACCATCAGGAATCACCGAGGGTCAATGCACCCGGTGTCAAACCATGTGATGTTGTCAAATACATGACTTGGGGGATTCCAATATACCTGAGACAAGGGGTGGGAGGGGTTTAGTCGTGATGTGGGAGACTAAACCTAACCTAACCAAACCCCAATCGCAAGTCTAACCCTAGCCCTAAACAATTATCCAAACTCTAACTCTAATACCAACCCTAACTCTAATACCAACCCTAACCCTAACTATAATACCAACCCTAACTCTAGTACCAACCCTGACTGTAATACCAACCCTAACCCTAACTATAATACCAACCCTAACACTAGTACCAACCCTGACTGTAATACCAACCCTAACCCTAGCCCTAACCCTAACCCTATACACCTGACCTCTCACGTATGTGGCAGCTCAAGTATTTGGCTCAACACCGGACCTCATGACCGGTTAAAATGGGCAACCCCCATATAGCATGTACCTAACACATAAGTACCTTCTCAACGAAGTTAATTAGCATACCATCATGATACATATGCAAGTACACGTCTGAAATATGTGGTATGAATGTGTTAATAGATCTTTCGATATAAGTTCCATTCTCCTCTGTGCAGACTAATATACTTTCATATATACATGCCTTCCATAATTCCATATATACATGTCATCGATAAAACCTCTTGCCTTCAAAATAGCTTCATTTAGATTTATCAAATATAATCATCAGTTAAAAATATCTCCATAAGACACCAGAATGGAATTGCACTTTTAGAGGCATGTTGCCTGTCCGTAGCCAGGGTTTTGAATGGGGAGGGTGTTCATCCCACTGTCTGAGGGACCAGTGAGTTTCCTAGAGTGTCCTGGGGCATGCTCCCCCGGAAAATTTTAAAAATTGACCCTTCTGACATGGCATTTCCTGCAGTTTTTACAGGATTTCAAAGGGAAAATCAGACATACCTTTTTATTCAAGACAAAGTGAGTAGTTTTTCTACGATTTCAGATACAAAACAATCCATCATTTAAAGACCTTTAGATACAGAGTGGACCTTTGAGCCTCGTGGGGGTTCTTCCGAACGCCCCAACCCACCACCCCACCCGCCCTGGCTACTTGCATGTGTTGCCCCATATTTCAGGTAGCCGATGCCCATGCCCTAACGTGGTCTAGGCGGATCTCTTCGGTTCTGTATAAGTTCGTTACCGTAAAGTTGAACTCGGCTTCCCGGTAGGTTTTGCACGTGGGTTAATTAAACTCCTACCGTGGAAAAACCCAGCAGGGCTTAAAACTCTTACCGGGGGGCCTAGTTTAAGTAGGCGGCTAGGATCGTCTACAGGCCCGAAGGGAACCCGACCAAACCCGATAGGATTGGACACCATATTTAATGTTGTTTCTTACATTGCACAGTATTAAATGAGTTATTACCATGTACTAAGAATTCATAGAAAGGTGTTTCGAGGTTTTTTTCAGAAAACAAAGGTACCTTTAAGCACCTCTGACGAGGTAGCGACCTGCTACAATCCATGTACAGACAAATCTGTGTACATTTTACCGAATTAGAGAAATGATGCCAAACGCATGAGAACCTCTCTTGTCAAAACAAGTCGCATTTGGAGGAGGCATTTAAATATATATCAATACAGTAGGTAGATGGTTCACACCAGCTCGGTGTATTGGGTGCTTTTGCAGTACAACCATGCATCTGCAAGAAAACTGTCACAAATGGTTTGATTTTCTGTAAAATTCAGAATGTATTTTTTCATCCCACAAAATAATGAAATTTGATCATTTCCACCAGACTCTTCTGCTTCTTATTAAATGGGGCGGAATATTCTTAATAGTCCTGTTATGAGGACTACTCCTTATATAAATAGCCTCCGGCTAGTTGGGCAGTCATGGCTGTATATTTGTTCATACAGTTTAAAAATCAAATCAAATCTTACGGTTGCCGCAAAAGACAGTATCAAATTGGCCAGAGAGTATCCATTGACTAATGGACGTACACTCCTCTGGCAAATGGATACTGTACTGCCATGCCACCGTATGATCTGCTTGGAGATTAGAATAATCCAGCTATGATTTCTCCAGGATAGACCTGTATGATGAACACGGTACTCACAGAATGCAGGTGTCCTACATTTGCCCCCAAACACTCGGTGACGATCTAAGAGTTCTCAGTACGCATTGTGCGCATCGGGATGTCTTGCGGCAGCCGGTTGCTGATTTCGACGTCTGGCCGAAACCGCTTCATGATCTGCTCGTACATCTTCCGAACTGCGCGGCTATAGACGCGTTTGCGTAGATGTAGAATTATGGAGTCCGAAAACGTGCTGGTCATCATGAAGACGTGGAAGATGTCCGCGATGATGGCGACCACGCGTGAGAAGAGGGAGAGGATGCCAGCCCATGTCAGGATGCCGACAGCCCCGGCCGGCAGCCACGTCACCAACTGTAGGACGAATATGATGGTGAAGGTCTTCGCGGCCTTCCGTTTGTGCTGGAACTGGTCGTTGACGACCCCGGTCAGTTCGGCGTTGTTGTCCACGACGTCCTTCACCACCTTTGTATCAAGAGAGAGATAGGGGGGGGGGGAGAGAGAATGGTTTATTAAAAAATAGGCCTCCCCCGCATACTTGTCCATTTTTTTTATTATTTGATTATGTATTTCGTTGTATATGTGCAAATAAACAAAAATCATAAAAATCACAATCACCTAATCTTCAATCAGATCATACGGTAGCAAGGCAGTATCCATTGGCCAGAGGAGTGTCCATTAGCCGCCGAATGGTCTACGTGGAGATTAACTATTATATACTAGTAGATAGCTATGCCAAAAAGCAGCTACTCAAGCAAATGGATATGATTTTGGAAACGGTCAGACGTGTCTGCTAGTATCCACTAGCTTTCGTCAGTGACTGAGAGACCAGAGGAAAAATGCAGGTTTTATAAGCACAAACTATTTATTGATATGCATATAAGTGAAGACATTTTTTCAAAGTCCCAAAGGAAACAAAAGTTAGAAAAGTCAATACAAGATTATGCAAATTAGTCAAAAAGTTTCTGTTGTGCAGAACAGGAGCTTTAACAAGTGTTGTCTGTCCTCGGGGCTGGGAGCTCAGTCACTGATGAAATGTAGTGGATGCTACTTGACCGTTTCCAAAATCATATCCAGTTGCTTGGTCGAGTAACTGCTTTATGGCGTATCTTATTACCTGGATATCTAACCTTTATGTAACTATAGCTATGTATGAATCACAAACATCACAATCACCTTGTTGACGAGGCCACAGAGGAAGCAGCTGGTGAACACGGCGCAAACGGTCAGGCAGAGGCTGGCCCACATCTCCGGGCCTCCCATGGCGCAGGGCACCATCAGGCTCACGGGCGCTGTGATGTCGGCGGAGACCACGTCCGCTATCTGTAAGGGTGTGAAAAATGCCACTTCCGTCAATCATTTCATCAGGTTTGTAAGTCACTGAGTAAAGAGGCTCTTTTGAAACAACCAAGCCTTTTATGTCCAAACGTTGAAGACACAGTTCTCTGTAACCACGCGTATGTGTACTAGATATGTTACTTAGTTAATATTGTTTGGAAATGCATCTATAGCAGCGACACCTGTGCTGCCGTGCAATGTAAACCAGTCAGAACTGCCCCGAGGAAGGTGACAGATGGTCACCGAAATGTTGGCTGAAAAAGGACTTGGTTGTATAAAGTATAAAGTTTCTTTACTCATGATCAGAAAACTGCCATGTGTTATAAAAGAGGCCGAGGTATATTGGAGTTTTTTTGTTACCCGTGTGCTAATCCTCTAAGCTCATTTTTAAATGATCAAAAACATTTTCAAAAACATGATGATTCAAAATTATTAAGAACATGTCATGTAGGTATAAGTGTTGTGTTGTTCCCCATGTAACTGTCTGTTGTCCAATCTGTGTTTTTATAATAAAAGACGGGTGTTCAGTGGGATTGGAGGGCAGTCGGAGAGAAAGACACAGAGCAAGAGACTGTCCCAGCCCCACGACTGCGGTGCGTGTGTGCACCGGCATGCATGTGTCCTGTGCGTGATCTTTCTAGTGCTGTAGGCCGGTTCCCCGTACAGCATCCAAAAAGAACCTGAACACCACGTCAGCTACGCTTATTTCCGTCTCGTAAACGTTCGTCGCCTTTTGAAACGGTCGATGCCATATCGCAGAAAGGTAAAATTTGAGTGTATCAACACGGTCCATCCACACAGTGATGTTTCGTGGCGTACAGGATAGGGTATAGGTTAGGATTCTAGAACTTCGCTTTTTGACCTGAGGGTTCGAATCCAAACTTGTGTTTTTCTTTCTCTTTTTTTCGCTACTATTAATTCCTTTACTATTTTTCATGATCCTCTCTTACTTTGCAATTCAAATGTTGCCTTTCATACGTTTTATACGTATTTGCACCTCAAAAAAGTAATGATACGCTCGGGTATGGCATCGACAAGTCAGCGATATGACGACCGTTTAAAGAGACTGATGAAATTTGTACATACCCACAGCCGCACGGCTCCTAGACGGGCAACTTGCACCAGAGGTGGCGTCAGGGCAACGAGGATGCAGGTGACTATGCCGATGGCGGTGCGGCGGTTGGTCAGCATTGAGGGGTACTGGAGCGGAAAGGCGAGCTGTATGTATCGGCAGACCCACATGCCCGTCTGCAGACAGGCCGAGAGGGTGCCCAGGAAAGGGATAAAGAATCCCTGCGCCATGCACCACCACTCGCCGGGGAACTCCCCGTGTTCCACGCTGTAAATGGCAGTCGGGGCGTAGAGCAGTATCCAGACGATGTCGATGATACCGACGGCACACAGGAAGATGTTTCCCTGATCCTAGAACGGGAAACGTGCTGGTCAATCACTTAAACAATCGATCGATCGATCAATCAATCAATCAATCAATCAATCAATCAATCAATCAATCAATCAATCAATCAATCAATCAATCAATCGATCGATCGATCGATCGATCGATCGATCAATCAATCAACCAATCAATCGAACAATTAATCGATAAATCGAACAATCAATCAATCAATCGAACAATTAATCGATAAATCGAACAATCAATCCATCGAAAAGTTAATCAATCAATCGAGCAATCAATCAATCGATCGAACAATCAATCGAACAATCGGTCGATCGATCGATCGATCAATCAATCGAACAATCAATCGAACAACCAATCAATCGAACAACCAATCAATCGAACAATCCATCGATCGATCGATCGACCAATCAATCGATCGATTGACCAATCAATCAACTCTTTTGCTCAAAGACTGTAACTGTTAAAATGTATGGCAAGGAAGAAACAACAACGGGTAGATACATGAATTATATTAAGATATAATTCTAACAGAGATAGTCTATAGCGATACTAAAGCTAATCTATTGTATGTTTTCTTAAGGAGAGTATTATTACATTCTGTAACTCAGGAGATATGTCAGTTATTTACAATATGGTTTCGCTTTTGTACTGATTCACATATTAATTTTCCAACGTACAATGATATCTGAGTAGGACATGAAAGGAGCATATTGAAGATATCTGGTTTTGAATGGGGTAATGTAACACTAGTTTTGGAAGCTATGGATTGCATCAACTTTTGTCTGTTTTCTTCATATGTTGGACATGACATCATAAAGTGGAAGTTATCTTCAATATCCTACTTGCATGTCGGACATAATCTCTGATCGTTTTCTAACAAGAATGAGATACTGAACAACTGACCATATTGGACTGACTTTGATTTGCACTTAGCTATATGTCAAAGTGTTCAATATATTTTAAGTAAAAAGAAACAAAACATATCCTTCCTCATTATGGGGATTAGGGATTATTTTTACTAGACTTGCGATTTATTGGGCAAATGCTTTGCTACCATGAGGCCATGTTGATTTGATTATATTGATGACATCCACGCGCGCGAAAAAAACAACAACAGAAAACCAACAATGTTCACAGCATATACAACAAGAGTTCCGAGATCTCATACCTCCATGAAATATGGACTTCATATGTAATTGTAACTCTCTTTTTTAATTCTGCAAATGACCTCTGCATTAACATGATATATGCATCGTGATGTATGTTAACTTTTGATTAACTTACAGATGTCCCAAGTATGACATTCCCATCATTCACCATTAAGAAATCATATACTTTTCGCATTAATTATGCAAATTAGGTCATCATTTGCATAATTAGTAACTGTTGATGTTCCGCCTGCCATAGGTTACATACATTACATGTATGAAAGTAGTATAATGTAAAACACTGTAATTATAGAATTCCCTCATTAATTATGCAAATAAAGTCTTCATTTGCATAATTTGTATTTAATTATGTACATCTCTCTCTTAGCTACCTACACACCAAAAATGATGAAAATATGTTGTTCCTATCTGGACTTATTGGCTTTTAAACATTTCGCCAGAAAGTGCCCTGCAGTTCCAGAACAAGCTGCTAGGGGGACCAAACTCACACCACTTATTCCTGACAGGAAAAGGTATCTGTCACCAAAACATCAAGACCATAGCATGTTCAGGACAAAAGATACAAAAACCGGAAGTTCTGCTGCAGTACCAAGGTCATCCACCAGGAGGCCCATATTTGACCTTGACCTTTGTCTTCCTAAGACTTACCAACATACCAAATATCATCATAATCCATAAAGGCGTTGTGAAGTTATGCTGACCACAAAGTTGCGGAAACACAGACAGACAGACAGACAGACATACAGACAGACACGCCAAAAACAATACCTCCATTTTTCATGGAGGTAACTACATGAAGAATACTTAAGGCCAATAAAGGATGTTTAAGTATTGACTCTTACCCGCATTTTTTTCACGGTACAGATGAGATACACAAAGCAGCCATTGCCGAACAAGGCCCAGCCTGTCATGCCGAAGAGAACAAGGCTCAGCAGAGGGTGCATGGGCGGATAGGCGCCGTACAGACCGACATCGGCCGGGTTGTAGTTGGTGGCTGATGACGCCACGGCTCCAGTCGTGACGTTTGAGGTGACGTTGTCGGAGGCGGCAGCTGCGTTCTCCGAGCCATTGGACATGGAACTTGCCAGGACGATGACGCCGATGGCAACCCTTCGCCATAAGGAACTAATGTTCCTCATGTTGTTTTGCCGTAGCCGCCCGTCACTGTGTGAATCTGTCGTGATAGAACGATAAATGTTGTTGAAGTCCAGATTATACATTGCCAGACTACACACTGTGAGGCTATGTAGCTAGCTGAGAGAGAGATGTACAAAATTAAATGCAAATTATGCAATTAAGACTTAATTTGGACAATTAAGCTGGAAATTCTGTAATTGCAGTGTTTTATAATAGTACTTTTATACATGTAATGCATGTATGTATTTATGTATTTATGTATGTATGTATGTATGTATGTATGTATGTATCTATCTATCTATCTATCTATCTATGGTTTGGTTCCAACAGCAAAAGGCATTGGGAGATTACATTACTGCATGGGGGGTATAGACTGTTAGAACACTTCACATTTTAAAAAGGGGTGATTTAGGAGCAATCCCTCTCTGTGTGTGGGGATAGGTCCATTTTTGGTACGGTGGGTGTGGTGAAGCCATGCTGCATTTGCTCCTGAGCAAATGTCGGCCTTTCTAGTTATTTTATGTAATGGTATTATTAACTATTTTAAATTGCTTAAACGACGTTTTATACTGTTAAAGGAGTACTAACCTCCAGAAGGGGGTGCTATATTCCGACAGGCATTAATTTTAGGTAGTGAAAAATGCATATTACTTTACAGTATACATTAAATGCCCATTTTGCGCGCAAGTCTTAAAACGCATCGAATCCAGGACAAACTCTCCAAATACCCTCAAAACTATCCCAGAACACACCACGCTACCCCATTGGTGTCTATGTTTTCAACAAAAAGTTACGTTACAGACTTTATTTCAGGGGCGATAAAAAAAATTCCTACTGTTTTGTGTTCTTTGCTATCTTACCAACCATTGCCTTTCTTGATGTCCTTATCGCCCCTTATTTATGCTGAAATATTGACGATGAAAAAACGGCGTAATCTAATTATCTTTTCCATAAGTGGCGCAATCTAATTATTTGTTCAATTAATACTAACATGCAAAATAAGTTGAGAAAATCAAAACACGCAGGATGAAACTGGCGCTCACTGCATTAGACATCCTCAT